CAGTAAGCAGCTTCGGCACTCTTTAATAGCTTTTTCACCTCGAGTCTCTTCTGTTTATAGAGACTCCATAACTCAGGATCGCCTTATGACTTTGCCCTTTGTAGGAGTTTATATCTCATGTTCATTTCTTTTCTAATGGAGGTGTTAATCCATGGAAGAGAGTTATCTCTTATCCGAACATCTCGTCGGGGTAAGTGGTGGTGTAGGATTTCGTTATATAAGTATTGCCAAGCATCAACGCTGTCATCGATGTCATCGAATAAACCAGTTATATGCCAGGGGGCTTGATGGAAATCGCTTCTAAGTTGCATATTTTAACTTGGATTTAAATTTTACTACTGTAAATAGCTATAGGTTTTTTTTGTTTTTTTTTAGTATTTTCTTCTAATTTAACTCGTTTTTGTTATGTCCCCGTATTAGTAGGGGAGTTTTTCCCCAGCTAGGTGGTTGATAACATTCTTAAGAAAGTTTCTGTCTACCTATCTATCTTTGTGTCTAGCAATTTATAGTTCCTGGTTGAGATAACTTTGGGTTTCGGATTACTTCTTGCAACTTTGAAGACAGCAAATATTAGGTGGTGATCAGAGATGCCCAAGTCGATGGAACCAGAGGTTTGGATTTTTGAAGGTTGGCTTGTTATCACAAGGTCGATAAGCGACTTTGAGTCAGCAGTAATACGGGTTGGAGCAGCAGATGTCCAGCAGATACTCAGATTACACTATAGTCTTTAATTTCTGCTCCAAATAGGCAAAAGGGGTATCCCAAAAAAACATTCCCAGAGAAATAAGTTCACTCACGCAGTTAGAAACCCTCCAAGATAAGTTGTTACATCCACAAAGTACTCAATTGCTCTTTCTTTGACCATGCACAACATCAGCAAATATGTTTTATCCTGCCGGTTGCATACTGAAAAACAGTCACTCACGAGATTCGATCAGATCAGCCCTCATTACCAAAGGATTAGTGCCAAAAGTTGCATCACAGGCCAGACTGCCTCCTCTCTCTTCACACATTCTTACTGCCTCATTAACAGTTGGAATCAGTTCAGCTGGTAGCTGAACTGCACATGAAGTCTGAGCCATGTTTTCCATCGGCACACATCCTTGTGGTCCCGGAATCCTGTGATGATTCCAAGAACGGATCAAGTGTTCAGCAGCATCATTTGCAACATACATTGTCACCCAAGAAATGTAAAACATTGTAACTGAGCAAACAACAATAACTAAAGATGAGACTGAATTTATATCCAAAGACTTTTCCACAGAAGGTAAAATTTGAAATGTTGTGCTTTTTGCGAATCCAGTTTGCAGTGCAGCAGCAAAGACATGTTTTCCATAAAAGATATTTTCAATTACATATATGTTATTTGCCGGCACGGAGGTCCGTATAATGAAAAACTGTGACCGAGGTCACAGTTTATCACTATACAGACTGACGCTAAGCCGGCAAATAACATCTTTATTTTTTTTCCTGCAGTAAATTGGTTTTAAAGATCACAAATGAGTTTGTTTACACAGCTCTTGTCATTGAATCGGCTTGCACCGTCTACTAACGATTTGTAAAAAAAATCTTGGCAACGAGCAAGTAACTCAGACAAAGTAACAGTAGACAAAGAAAGATGTATTAAAGAACAGATTTTTTTCAAACTTTTTTATGTTAGTTGCGTTTATTTCACCAGTTAAGTTGTCCAAAATTGTTTTTGCGGTGTGAAATTTCGTGCGAAGTTTGAAGTTTTACTACAAAAACAGTTTCTGTCAATCGTTGCTTTTAAAATCACTTGACATCAGACTTTTCTACCGTAAATTGAACAGCAGAAAGCGAGGAAATTCGTTAAGTGTATTCCACAAAAATTCTCCTAAATACGGCAAAGATAAGAGAGGTAAACTCGACTGAAATTGACTCAAATTTTACGGCGAGAGAAAAACAGGATTACGCGCCATTACAGCGCCAAGCTACAAACAACCAAGCAAACTCTCACAACTTCAAAACACTCAATTGAATTTATTTACAGTGACTTTCCTTGTCATTTTAAAGTGAACAGAGATAAACTTGCTTTGACTAATCGTCGATGAATGTGTAAAAAAGGCAAAAGATTGACGATTACCGCTAACTTTTAGGAGCGAAATTTAGGCAGCGGGGAAAAAGTCCGGCCCGTGAGCCGTATCGTAAAAAGCTGGACCGGTCACGTGCGTATGATTAGCCAATCAAATTCGAGGACTTAAGATTCCGGCCCACTTAGATGCTTGAGAAAAAAATAAGAATGGGTTATTGACCAAGTGTGAGGTCAAGAGGGCTGGATATTGGCCAAGTTCTTTTTTTGCGTGTTTATGGACCGAGATGGAGTCGAGGTCCATAAACTCGCCAAAAAAAGAACGAGGCCAATATCCAGTCATCTTGACCGAACAAGCTTGGTCAATAAAGGATTTATTACATGGCTTTCGGGGAAATTTTTCTTGCGAAACACGGCGGGTAGCCACGAGCGGACAAGATAGCTCCATCTTACCCGCTCGGGTAGCCAATCACAGCGCAGGATTTGATTCATCGCTCACGGAGCTAGCCATATAATAAAAGTATTTATTTATTTATTTGTTTATTTAGGGAAGCCATAGGGATAATCTGTAAAAGAGCAATGAAGCTTCGTACACAACAGATCACCCATTGTAATTACAAAATATACTGCTCGGGTTTCAACTCATTTATGCCAGGGAAAATACGTACACTTGAACGAATTGCACCACAAATTTTACTTGACGAAATACAAATTCTACCCTTTTTCAGATACAAATTTCCTGGACTTTTCCAGGACTAAGATTGATTTTTCCGGGACTGTAAACTTCACATCCCAAGATCTCAATGTTAATTCTCCTTATTGTCTGCCATGCATTTCATATATTTTTACTTGAGTTTAACAGATTTCCAGAACTTTCCAGGACCAGCAGCCTTTTTTTCCAGTTCTGGAAAATGCCACAAAAAAATTCCAGGACTTTTCAGGTTTTCCAGGACCCGTACATGTTCGCACCCTGTTTCAGCCATGTTGCAATGACCGACTAAAATCCCGCTCGATACAGCGTTACGAAAGTTTGACATACCTGCCTGGCCTGTGCGACGAAAGATGGAAAGATTACTCAAGATTGGAAATGTTTCAGTCACAGCAAGTGACGTAAGAAAAATAGGAAGAAAATCCATTTCGTCCAAGAAAGCAAAATTCCGAAACGCCGAAAAATTTATCGATCGACATCAGCGAGTGTGCAAAAACTCGCGATCTTTTAAATACGCTAATATTACGATACCTGCGAAAGGCCCAGCATATTTCCGGCGAGTTTCTTGCGGATCTCCCCTACATTTTGTGCTGTGATTGGAACTTTTCTCCTCGAGTAAACCCTCAGCCAACATATGGCCTGCAACTGGCCTGTATGTATCTTTTGTGTAAGAAAACACGAAACGACTCCTAGTCTTGCTGCTCGGTGATTGGGCAGAAAAAAACAAAGGTTTTCTGGCACCAATCAGAAGTCAGAACTACTTCGACCGTTTGGAGCCTGGTTTGGAACTGGTCCGTTAAAATCTTGTCCCCAGGGGCTCTTCCTCTCGTTCTTGACTTTTCTTCGCCCAAATTTTTTTTCTCGCCCGTTTAGACTTTTACCCGCCCCTACTAACTGCCCCTGGGTCTCCGAGGATGAGGTAATTATAGATATTTCTTAAACAATATTTTGTAATTAATGATCTCTCAGACATTGTTTTCTTCAAGAAAAGATTCATACCTCACATGGAGGATTTTCCTTTAAGAGCTTTCTCTTCCTGATACTTTGGAATTTCTGAAGACTGGCCATGAATGGGTGTTGGGTGCGAATATCTTCTGGAACTGCACATTCAGATTAAGTAAGCAAGAACATCAGTATTTATTCTGACAAAGTCTGATTTTCTTTTGAAAGCTGATTACTCGTTTACAGTTGTACAATTATATGTACAACCAAACAGCCTGGATGGCCCTTTGATTGGGACTGTGCACATTGTTGTAGTGTAATGTTCCAGTTTCTTGTTTAAAGCAAATTGCATTTGCTCTCGAAAGCAAGTCGCCAAGTTCATAACAGTTATATAGTTGCGTTGCATCTCAGGGCATAGCCTGCCATTGTGAAAGTTTGGGTACCAACCCCTCGCGTTTTATTCACTACTGTACACTCTATGTCAAAGAAAGGAATGTCATCTGTTGGTGTGCAAAGATTATAATCAATTATAATTGATATGTCTTTGTATGAATAACAGTGGTGTTCAAGTAGCAGCTACAGTATGATTACATGCCTGTTCTGTCAGTCAATATATGAACAGTGTACACATGGGCAGCCTGGATTAAAACATCAAAGATTTTCAAAGCAACCATGGCTTGGTAAGATATTTCTAAGGAAATATAAATTTAAGGTCCTTATGATTGCTTATATAGGCATTGATTTTTGTTGTAAACAATATCTTACTGAGTGTATTTTTCTTGTGTACTAATAATATTGTTGTAGAACACAGAGACCACTGTTATGACAGAGATATTAATGTGTGAAAAGTTCTATAAACAAATGCATCCAAATGGATGCAGCTTCTGAGAGATCCCCAATATTAANGTAGAACACAGAGACCACTGTTATGACAGAGATATTAATGTGTGAAAAGTTCTATAAACAAATGCATCCAAATGGATGCAGCTTCTGAGAGATCCCCAATATTAATGGAACATACACTGTACATACATGTAAAAAAGTTCAATAATTTATTACTTAAGATTGTAATGCTTTGTTTGGTTTCTCTGTATTTACAGACAACTTGATGGGATTATAATTTCTGCACTAACTTCATTGAACAAACTGACTTGGAAGTTGACTTCTGCAACCCATCCCGTGTGTAGTAATATCATAGCTGCAACATTGTGACAGATACACTGTATTACATTACTAAGAAACACATATATTAGCTGCGGTCACATCTACGACGTAACTAAAGTTTAACTTAAGTTAGTGTCAAGTTACGTGACGTCATACCTAGCAGTAGTTAGTGCTTTCGGTTAACTTTGCGGTCACACCACGCAGTTAACTACAGTTAGTTCTAATTAGCCTATGGATGATGTCAGAATTAAAAGAGGTTCGTGATAGCCCTGCGAGGAAGGTCTGGAATTTACCACAACAAATACAAGGATGGCTGCACAAAAGCTTCAAGGCTTCATGTGTTGCTAACTTGTTGCATGTAAATTTTTTGTTTTTGGTTTTTGGTTTTCCCCTCGCTTCACGCTCAGTTTTTATTTTGCATATTTATATATGCTCATCTCGCACGTGCGAAAAGAATTCTGATTGACTGTTTGTTTGTAAACTTAAGACTAACCCATGAACCCTGCTTGGGTATAACTATAGTTAGTCTGTATTGTTTTGGATCACCGAGGCATAAATTTTCTAACTATAGTTAGAGCAAACCGAGAAGTGGTCACATTACCAAAATAGCTAACTATAGTTATCCCTGGCTTAACTATAGTTAGTTGCCCAGATGTGACTGCAGCCATTAACTAATTATTTAAAGTGCCCGTTAAATTAATCAGTTTTTCTTGGAGATAATTTACTCATGGTCTTTTTAAATAATTATACTAACGGAGAAACAACAACAACATAGAGTCTCCAGTAGCTCAGTGATTAGAGCATCCGACTAGATCACGGAGGGTCGTGGGTTCAAATCCCATCTGGGAGTCGGATTTTTTTCTGAGTATACATTTCTCCCAGAATTTACACTTTATTTAAATAATTGCTTTTTTGACTTTAAAATGATATTTATTGTGTTTGATTTAGGGCGCTTTTGAATCAATTTTGTGATAATCTGCATTGGGTATGGCATAAATTAATATTTTGCCAACACGAAATGGAGAACTGGGTCTTAAGCAAAGTTGCAGGATAAGTATTTTTGTAGAAAGAAAGGGTTGAGAAATTTGTGACATTCTGCAGACAGCCTTGCCATTTGCAACGTCCAGTAGTGCTGTACAAATAGTGTCGTCTAATTTACAAATTATTTCAATCTGTTGTTTTTAAACAACAGAAAATGATTAAAAATGATTGCCTGATAACCAAATCCGGCTTTAGTGCGTGTAGGATATTGATGTATTGCTGATCCATTTTGCTGTAAATTATCTTTAATTGATGTGTCAATCAAAACATATCTTGGATATGCTGGGCTCTTCTGACAAATGTTGCTATGCCTCCTAACCTTTGAGTGCATTTGGTTGTGTAGTGCAGAAAAAATACATCTACATAATATAACTTACTCATAGCTTACTTATAATTCTTGGTATAATAATTATAATCATAGCAACATTAATTACTGGAACCCAATAACAGCTCCTGTAGTCCACCATCTCAGTCGAGAACAAGAACAATTCACATTGAAAATGAATAAAAAAATTATTATTAGAAGCCTTTGCAAGTAATCATGATCAGACAAAAAATATAATATATACTGTTCATGCCAGAGTGATTTTGCTTATTGCAAACCCTTCCAGCTGGAGGAGACTCCATACAAAAGTGAAGATGGTTAACTGTATCTTTGGGGATCAAATTAGAAAACAAAACTTTCCAACTTTTCACTTTTGGTAGAGATTTAGGGACTGAGTGTATTGTAACCACTGCATTTCAATCATACCCCACAACAAAAAAATGTGTAAATTTCTTTTGTGTGGGAGTCCCCATGTTAACTAAAAAGAATATAATGACTAATAACAATGTCTTGTCTTTCTGAATAAGGTAGGAAAGAACAAGAAATGCTATCAAAAAGCACAGAAGACAGTTCAGTTATGTGATCAAGATTTTTGGTGGCTTCCCAGAAATCCTTAAAATCATGGCTCTATTTTCATCATCACACCATCGGGGGTCACCATCTTACACCTCGATCTGCTGATGTAATCCTAGGTCCGGCTACAACTATTAAATCGTTCGCAGTTTACCTCACATACATGTTGGATTATTTTCATTAGGAACAACATTCTAAAAAATAACTGAAAAAAATAACCGCTTTTAGGCTTGGCTAAATTTATATATTATTTAAACTCAAGGTATATTAAGAAATTAAACCCTGCTCACAAAGAATTAAGCATAGCCTAACACAATATTAATTAAGAGGGTTACAGAGATATTAAAATAATGGTCTTGTTTTGGGATCCTTCTCGTGTTGTCGAGAGAAGACAGGATTCAAGCGACATTCGAATACTTAATGTTTTAACCCTCAAAATACAAATTACGAGGCAAAGCCAGTGTTAAAACAGAATCTTCAAACAAAGTAAAAACTCAGTATACGATACAAAGAATCTTCATTTATAGGTCTTATGAAAAAAAATCTTAAGGTGGTTTGAAATAGTCTCCACCATTTTTTCAGCATTTCTTATTTCGTAGATATACTACCAGAAGTTGAACCTAATATAGAAAACTGGGTCGACGGAGTGACCGCAATGCTGGTCAAACGCGAGTAAGCCCAATAGCGCACAAGTGG